TTACCGTACTGACCAAACAGACTTCTCCACATAGATGAAAACTGTTCCATGAAGAGAAAGAATTAGTGATTTAGCGTTGTAGTTTTTTGGATGTAGGTATAATAACAGTAATAACTATCATAGGATATGCATATTCGTGTTGTTACTTATTCAAGCTATACGTTTGATGAGACTGGTAAGTACATGATCTTCGAGCTTCTGGTTAACTCGACTGTAACATAGACGACGTGGTGACATCGATCCCAGAGTGATATCAAAGTCTTATCTATTTATCCTCTTCTACGACTTGGCGTTAACAATAATGTATGTAAAGTGGTAACTGTTTAGTAGAACCAACTTTCAGCAGATGAACCGGCAACTTGTCGTGGAATATGCGCATATACATGAGTTCCATCATACTGTTGGTAGCTGTGTTTGGGGAAAAGGATGCTACAGGAGGGAGTGACAGTTTTACATTGACCTGTATATTTTCCAGCTTAACAAATGGATGAGTGGTCCATTCGAAGTCTTGCTATCACCGGAAGATCAAATTTTTTCTTAGATGACAAACAGTTCCACCTCTCGATTTTATTATAGTGCTCGTAGATATCCAGATTTCTGCGCATTAAACGATTTGGTGATTGGAGGCAGTGTGTAAAAACACAAGGATATTGACAAAGCGACATGGACTTCACCAGATGGACACAGGACACACGACTTCATCTGAATCTGAAGAAAGTGGAGATGCAGGCAGACTACTGGACACAAGGTGAAAAAGGGGAGCAGATGTCGGTTCACACCACTATCTAGCGCAAGGAACCTATCTTCAAAATCAAGTTGAAAGCCTTCACAGAAGTTAGTGATAGACCACAGTTCAAGTTCAACACCCAGAAACTAAAGAACAAAACTACAAAGGACATGTTCACGTCAGCCATCAAGATAAAATGGGAGATAGATATCGAGCAAGATCCGTGGAGAAACGTGTGTGGAAGAACACTGGAAGTCTTTGAAAGTGATGTGGAAAGAAACCTGCATAACCGTATTAGGAAGGAAGAAGAAATAAGACACGGAGTGGATCTCAATGGATTCATAGAAGCTGATAGAGGAGAGAGAGGAGGATGGTGAAGCAGAAGATGAACCAGTGCAGTGCAGTGCAGTGCGGGGATGAACAACGAAAGGAAGAACTGAGTACAACCTATAAAACACTACACTGGACAGGGAAGTGAAGAAGAGTGCGCACAAAGACAAAAGACACTTCTACGACACATTGGCAAATGAACCAGAACAGGCTGCTGGTAGGAGAGACCTGACAACACTGCATCAAATAACCAGGTTACTATCCGGGAAGAGATCAACTCAGACGAAACCAATGAAAGATAGTGAAGGAAAGCTAGTTACCAAAGAGGAGAAACAAAGGAAACAATGGGCTGAGCACTTCAAAAAGCTCTGAATCGACCACCACCACCACCACCTGCAACTCGTCCAGAAATACCACCGGCAACAGCAGAACTACCAGTGAACACATGCCCTCCGACAAAAAGCCGAAGTGAAGTCCTCAATGCCGTAAAACTGCTGAAATCCGGGAAAACAGCAGGAGCAGATGGAATTCGGTCAGAAGCACTGAAAACGGGTGTAGAGACAACATCGGACATGCTCACACCACTATTGCAGAAGGTTTGGAAGGAAAGAAAGGTACCTACCGGTTGACTGAAAGAAGAGCTACCTTGTCAAACTCCGAAAGACGGGAGACCTAATTGTTTTACAAAAACTAGAGCGGAATTATGCTCCTATCCACCTCAAGCAAAATATTAAGCCGCATCAAGCTGGAGAGACTAAAGGATGCGCTGGATTCAAAATTACGACCGGAACAGGCTGGCTGGCCTTGGGAAGAACAAATCATGTGCGGATCAAATTGCAGCGCTACGCTAAGTATCATCATAGAACAGAGTATAGAATGTTAGTCAACTCTCTATTTCAACTTTATCGACTTTGAAAAGGCCTTCGATTGACGAGTAGTTTGGCAACTGCTTCAACACTATGGTTTTAGTGCCACAAACCTTTATCAATATCATTCAACAGCTAATTGCTATACGTCGCTATGTGCTAAGTGATTCGCAGTACAATGCTCAGTGACACCTTTGAACTGAAGACAGGAGTAGGACAAGGTTGCCACTCACTATCTCCGATGATCTTCCTGAATGTGGTCGACTGGATCATGCAGCAAACCGTGAGGAGCGAGAAGATGGGCATACGCTGTTCGACCGATGAATGACCCTATAAGATTTGGATTTCGCCGATGATGATTAACGTCTGACGTCGCACAAACTCGAAGATCTACAGGCGAAAACTAAAAGTTGACAAAAGGAGCGAGGTGGCGAGGATGGGACTTCAAGTGAACGTAGAGTAGACAGTGGTGATGAAGATAGTCAACCAACAGTACCAACAAGCACCAATCAGCATGAACAGGAGAAATCTAAAGGGAGTTATCTCTCACCTACCTAGACAGCATCGTTTCAACTACAGGTGGCGGCGGCGGCACAGATGAGGATGTCAAAGCCGGGATCGGAAAAGCAAGGCAAGCCTTCATTAACCTGAAACCAGTGTGGAGATCTACTACACTGCACTCAGAATAAACAACAAGATCCGGATTTTCAACACTAATGTCAGTCGAGTCAGTGGCTTCTGTGTGATGGTTTAGAGACTTGGAGCATCACGAAAAGCATTTCCAACAAACTACAGACATACATCATGAACAACTGCCTACGCTCGATACTGAAGATCAGATGATCAGAAAGAATAAGCAACAAGAAACCGTGGAAACGAACCAACCAACCAACCAACCAACAGCCTATCTCCTAAGCAATATGCATAAGAGCGTGGAGATGGATTGGATTGGGTATATACTGAGAAGACCATTCAGAGACACCACGCATCAGGCCAGGCCGTCGAGTGGAACGGGAATGGGAAACGAGGAGTTGGGCCCCCCAGTTGAGGATGACATGGAGGAGATGATGTCAGGAAGAAATGAAAGATTGTGAGCAGTTGTGGAGCCAGGTTGATCCAGACTGCAGAGAGTAGAGTGGAATGGAGACGTGCTACTGAACCCCTATGTTCCACTAGGAACCCAAGGGACAAACAATTAACATAATAATAATATATCCAGTACACTTTAGGCGAGCTGAAGTTTCTGGTCAAGCAAGATTTAGAAGCATTCAGTTTATAATGTAACTTTTTTGGTGATTAAATTTGTCGATTTTCACTGTAGGTATTTGCACAGGCCATCACAAAGCCTAACTAGGTGAATCGAAATCCATCCATTTTGTTTCCAATTATTAAATGCGAACGATGGGTCAGGGGTTGGAACCCCGCTCCACCTACCAAGGTTTGGGCATAGTCAGGTAGTATCATTCGTCGTCAGACAATAGGTGACTGACTGACTGTCCACTGCAGGAATGTGCACACGTTTACTAAGTGCATTTTAATTTAGATTCGAAATGATTTTTTTATTCGCTTGTTGTAGTCGTGATGTCTAGTTGACAAAGTGCTATTGGTTGGTTGCTGTGTATAAAGGTATATCATAACTTCCTAGGAGTGTATGGTATTACCGAAGATACTGAATGTTCATGCTAGTTGACGATTATTTCTCTTCAACTAGTTTTTATTCTATTTTTTTTTGGCACTTACTTATGTTACTTTGTTAATTTGATTTAAAAAAAACTAAGTGAAATGATATTCAGAGTTAAAACTGACTGACTAGTTAGTTGGTTTCAGTCAACAAATCCTCAGTCATGTTTCTTATTTATTATTTGATAATGGTTAGCTTTGGAATCTAGGGCGATACGTTTTGTCGTTTTTCAATCTCGTCAACTTTATGCAGTTGTGCCCACGTCGTATCGTTGTTCTAATCATGACTAGAACCCAACACCTGCCTCGAAAAATATCAGTGTAAGGTTTTCGATAGATAGGCTAGTCGACTGACAAGGTTGTGAACCTCGATGTATCATGCTAGGAAGAGTTGGATTATGCTGGAAGACGGTTGAGGGTGGCCAGATCAAAATCTTACACCAGTGCATGATGAAGTCTTTAACTGTTGGTCTGAGTCATGTTAGGAGATGTGGACTGGTCGGTTGTGGCTCCTGAGACGATAGGAATGAGTAGTTGAGAATTCTTGATGATATTGCTGAAAATCGGTCGCATTAACGCACATGTATTCACTCCTTGATATCTCCTAAGGCTTGAATATTTGAACTAACAGTCACCATGAAATTGTTTATTCTCTCACACAACTTTATCTACTTTGTTTATTTGATATATAGCGCACAGTGATACAGTATTATTTACTTGATTACGTTTCGAGCATAAATTATTACTGCTCATAATCATCACATCAATGTAATCACACACAAGTTTCGATATCTGATTTTATAATCCTGTCACCTGATCTCTCCAGCTTGATGCGGTTTAATATTTTGCTTGAGGTGGATAGGAGCATAATTCCGCTCTAGCTATATTAGACTGTGAGGTCAAATACATAGGTCAAACTAGCCGGTCGGAGTCAGTTAGATTAACAGAACAGAAATTTAGCTAAACATAGAACGACAGACCCTAATAAGATCAATAGTCTAGAAAAACACTCGGCCATTGCATTACATTCATTCATTAACACACAACGACACAATAGGGTGGGACAAAACCACTGTACTTAAGTCTAATATAGCTAGGTGGAGAGAGAGATTAATTACTGAATCTTTCTTCATCGAATCCACACCCAACACATGTTGAATAGGAATGACGCAACACCTATACCAGAGATATGGAAAACTTTACTACCAATCAAAAAACAAAAAAACAAGGAGAGATCAGGTGACAGGATTATAAAATCAGATATCGAAACTTGTGTGTGATTACATTGATGTGATGATTATGAGCAGTAATAATTTATGCTCGAAACGTAATCAAGTAAATAATACTGTATCACTGTGCGCTATATATCAAATAAACAAATCGAATATGGAATTACATTCTACCACAGTGCCCAAGTTTTACACTTATCTACTTTATCTACTCTGGTATGTGTCTTTTTCTGTCTACCTATACTTTTTGCACTACCGTGAAGTGTTGCAACTTAAATTGATGCACTTGTGTGAAGGTTCTACTTTGATATTGTCAGTAGATCTCTTCTTTTCTTTTTCTACCGCTTCAAAACTTCAATAATTCTATTTATTATAGGAATGGAGTTTCTTCTCTCGCCTACTCTACATGATGGTGTTCGTACAACTAGTTTTGCTACGTTATGTATCCATCTGGTTGATAGCTGTAAGTCTTTGTTTATCAACTGTTTTTCTCCATATCACATAGGTCGCTTCTATCTGTATTTTCACTTGTTATTTTTAACCTTTTTAGGTAAGACCTGAGGCAATTTGTATCAGACAAATACTTCTACTTGACTTTGGAAATATATTTATGCACACATTATGAAGTAGTTCTTCCACTCTGACCACTTATTATAAGTGTTTACGTACACGGGGGAGTCTATGGAATGATGGTTTGTGAATGGAGACAGGTTTGGTATAAGTATTGATCTATGTTACCAAACTTCTAATCACTAGAGAAAGTTGAAGTTGGTAGAAAAGAGAAGAACAGTGATAACTGCTGATAAGAAGTCGTAATATACCGAGGCAAAAAGAGATATAGAGAACCCAACTATTCCACGATCGACTGGACCTGTGGTTTATTAGTCTAAATAAGTTGACTTTCAACCGCAACGTCGTGTGGGTTAGAGTCTTGGTTGACTTACCGATGTCTGGGCAGTCAGGTAGTATTATCAACTTTGATACAATAGTACACGTACGTGGTTGTTCAAGGGGTTCTATTCCTCACTGTGGCCTATTCCCAATAGAATTGCATGAAGTCCTCGAAAGCTGAATTCGAGTGTTTGTCATCTTGCGATCAGTTATACTGCACTTTTAAACACAGTTCGTCATATCAGTGACTCTATGATTTTATACTATGACGACACTCAGAAGTTTTTTACGACTTTAACATACTCCAGTCAACACGACATGTCACCACGTATCATAAGTATCTCAGTTGGTAAATTCATCAACTAATTTACTTCTCCTACATTCAAACTTTATCGCTCACATGGTATTTTTAATTACACATGAGGGATACTACGAAGACATGGTGTTGATCAAATATCAAAAGGTTCCATCGGCCCTTCACTTCTGATGCTTATACTTCACATCCATGCACGAAGATGGAGTGAACGCTATGCAGTAGTAGACTCGACTTTTATAGGCATTCATATGTTAGACCGGGGGAAAAAGTGGTCTGATTCGGTGAAAACTTACTGGGGTTTTGAAAAACGTCTGTTTCGAAATCACCACAGGATCAGTCAATCATCATAGTAGTGTCACTATAAGAATGTCTATTGATACTGACGCCTAATAAGTACTGTACTTTGATCATTCCTGATTTTCACGCACTGAAAGTGTTTTGTAGGAAATTAAGAATTTTAACATGTTACACCAATTATGTATACAGATAGTCTGGACTGAAAAACAACATTAAATTTATGAAATATCTGTTCATCAATTCTCGGACCAATGTAATTTAGCCTGTTAATTAATTTTGTTAGTGTTCTACTGTGTGAGAATCCCGTTGAAAACATAATTTCTTTGATGAAAAACAAATTATCCGTAATGCATATTAGATATTGTCTAATAATTTATAAGAACAAGGCATGTATCAGCGAGGAAATATTTCTTTTCAATGACTTCATTATCAAGCTGTACAGTTGTATTTATACTCTGATTCGTCAATGCGTGAAGGATAGGCTTCCACTTATGTCCACTTCGATGTGTATCTACAAGTCCACATGCTCCTGTGCAGCTGACTATATTGGACGTTGTAAGCGGGCCCTCCGAAAACGTGTTGCTGAACACTACCGGTTTGGCTTACCAGAGGCGAGCAAAGGAAAACAACTTCATCCATATGTGAACACCTTGTTGTATCGGGACACTTAGCACCTCGAGATTCATCCTTTAAAATAATTTACAAAGTTAAATTGAACTACTCCAAAGGTTTACGTTTCCACCACTTATGCATCGCTGAAGCATTAGCTATACATGAACAAAAACCGAAACTTTGCATTCAGAAACATTTTGTGAAACCACTTTCTCTGCCTTGGCCTTAACAATTCATTTTGTTGATTTTGTCAGCTTTCAGTTCACTTCACTTCGGTATACTTCTCTTCTATTATCACCATCATCACCAATTTTCACTTCATTGATAACAACACTTGAACCATATTTCACTCCTTAATATCATTGACCTATTGTACACAATTCAGCTTAATTATCACCGTTTTACAATTCTTTGACAGCACTTGTCGCTTATCTCACCACTTGTTATCAATTCCTCCCTCTTTATTCACTGACCCATTTTCTATCTCTTCCACTTGAACAAATACCACCAGCTACACCGATTGTATATTTTGCATATTGACTGAGCAACTCCCTTTTTAGTGCAATTATGTGTCAGTTTACTGAGTATAAATACGACTGCTGTACAGCTTGATAATGAAGTCGTTGAAAAGAAATATCTGTTCTTCGCTGGTACATGCCTTGTTAATGAATAAATGGGTATATTTCGTCAGTTGAAAATTTTTAGTCACTGATGTTTGAGTTCTGGTTTGTATGGTTTCGAAATACTTAAAAGAAGTTTTCTATACTCGATATGGAGCTGTGATTCATTGGTTTATTGGCAGTTGACTTTCAACCAGTGGATCATGAATTCGAACCTCGCCCCAACTACTAAAGTATGGACAACCAGGTAGTATCATTAACCCTAAGATATAATAAGTTTGGGCAATTACCTATTAGATGCAGGTGCTAATGGTTGTTGATTAGATAGTTGAGTTCCTCTCTCTTAAGAAAGAGCATTCACGCTGGAAGAAGCTTTAAGGCTGGAGAATATGTAGTTTGACAATGGATCATAACAAATGAAAGTTGTTATCCATGAGTTCTGTTTGTACTACGCTTTTTGAGGAAATATTTGTCTTCGTGGCGTATAAATTCCCTTCAACGATCGACTGACTTTGACAATAATCATTTACGTGTAGGATCTCTCTCTTTGTCACTGCTTCTTTTTTATACTCACATTGTTGAAATACTTATCCGAGTCTTTTTTCTCGTAATGATCAGTCTTGAATTCCTCCCTATACATGATAGCGTTGTTTGTCTTGTTTTCTTTTCTTCAAAAGGAGGGTTCATGTGTTCTACTTGGTCTTGGATGCACTGGCTTTGTCCATATTCAATGCAAAGGGCTTGATCAATTGCCTGACTTAAAAACAAACAAGGATACTGAGACATTTAGTCGTGATGGTCCTGTATTAAAACGTCGTGATTCCGCTGTGGAATGGTCTGTGGCGGATAATCGTATCAAGTCTTTGGCTGATTTATATGATCCAAAACAAGTTGAAGTATATGAAGCTCAGCATACTGCCTGTGCAAATATTTCGTTGACACGATACTCTTTTGCAACCAATACTGATGATCTTGTCGCTGGGCTTAATATCAATACTAACAAATGGGTTCTAGAGTAAGTGATTTTGCCCATGTTATCACTGAATACTGCCAATTGAATACAATAACCTTCATACACCATTCTTGATAACCACTGAGTTGTTGAGTAAATAGAGAAGCCGGTAAAATGACAGAAGGGGTGTATTGCGCTATTAAACTGCGCAAAACATTACAGTTTTTATGTGCTTACAATCGCTCTGGCTACTTCCGAATGTTTTTAGGAGGATATTCATTCTCTATCGATTTCGCCTCTTCAACCAATCTGATAAATACGCCTGTGATGACTTACCTTTTCTTCGCGTCAACTTCGAGTCAAAGCGATTGATTATGCAAGGATTCAGACAGTTAGCGCTTCTTCCGAGAATCTGGGTAGTCTTACTGCACACCGTAACTAATACCTAAACCTAAGGATGGCAGAACCGGATTCAGCGAGTGAATTTTTAATGTAAAGATTGCTGATCATCATCATCAACAACAACATAAGACCAGGGGTTAATGTCCAATGGTTCAAGTTGCCACACCTCATATCAGCACATCAAGCAACAAAGTGCTAAGATGAACGTTGAAGAGATAAAGAAGAATCGATCGAAAGCAGTGGAAAGTAGTCAAAGAGAGGAAGGAGGAGTTGGAGACTACTGAATTCGGTATGACAATTAAGAGGAAGATAATATGGGGATACATCTGCTCCACTGACATTGATTTAGGGCCATGTCATACAAAGTCAGTCTCGAACCACTGGTTTTGTTGTCACATGGAACCCCTACACAACTCTGACCAACGGTCAAAGACTTCATACAATGATGCCATGTTCAAGTATGGTCACTCTTAACCTTTTTCCAGCTTGAACTTACTTCAGCCAACATTGCGTGACAGGGCAGACGATGACTAGACATGCGTAAAAAGAAGAAATATGTGGATGGAATGATCTTCACACTTCCTTGTTTTCGTCCTACTGCAGTACAAATGAAATCTGGTAAAGAACTCCACTTACAAAAGTAGGATGTATATGTGTTTTCAGGATGAATACGGTCGAAGAACGGCTGAAGACTTGATACAACTTTCTAATTGAAAGTAGGTATGCAGATAAGCTCATAAAGAAACACACGATCAAAGAAGGTAGTATGAAAATGTTTATCAACTGTGAAAAAGAAGCCATTTTACATTCGAGTACAGTTTAGAATAGAAGTCCTTAGCAGTCACTACTTGAGAAACTACTTGGAATGATCCAATGAACTTTTAATGTGGATAGGTTACAGCTGATGATTTTGACATTTTCAAATCTGTTACCACGACTGATAGATGAAGTAACTAACTGGTTACCTTTTACTGTATTTGGCTGACCGACAGCTAATCTTCCAGATGGTATGGGTTTTTCATGTCTGAGGTTGGTACACTGAAATCTCAATCCAAAACTCTTAAAATATCATTTGTGACCGATCCCAAGCAGATGCAGTCACAGGAAATTGACCTATTTTTTCTTTCAGGTACTTTGCGTCAACAACTTCCACGGTGTAGAGGGAGACTAGAAGTTGTGCACATTAATATCTGGTTCAACTGCAGGTAACATCCGTAATCTCATAACTGCAAATCGTTACATTGGCTGAATAGCACAATAAAAACTAAGAACAATGTATGATACACTTAGATGCCTTTTTGTTGTCACTGGTTACGCATATACTGGCTGTAAATCGGATGATGAATTCTATTGAAATCTGTTTAGTCTTGGATTTATTCATTGTAACAGGGGAACAACTTCAGTATAGAATCAGAGATTAGATACTAAGTTGGGTGAACATGTGATTGGTTAGTGATTTTGGAATTGTAGATTATTCAACTTCCAACTAAGTAGATCAAGAGTTTGAATCGAGCTTCACCTATTGAGCTGTGAACAGCTAGATAGTATCACTAGCAGTATAATACCATACAATAGATATAGCTCATTGTCTACTGCACTAATGTGCATAAAGCTGCTGAATAAATTTCAATTGCGTCTTCGGAATCCTAGTCAAGTACACCGATAGCAATGATCATTTACTAAACGGTGACCTCATGCAGATCGATGTCTTCAGAGAATATTTTTTTCTCTCACTGACTTCGAGTAATAATAAATATCTTTATTCTCTCTATTTATCCTTATTTTTACTAAATAGCTTCTTGAAGCTTGTGACCATTTGTATTACTCATGGAAGGTAGGGTAATTTGAACTGCACTACACAGTAATACTAATCGATCGATACTTTACTTGTCTGTTTGCTTCATTTTCTTCTTTCCGACTGATTCATTGTTGTAGGTTTGACTCCACTACCCTTTGACTATCTCTTCTTAGTAGTTCATGTTATCAAAATGTTTCCTTTTTATATGTGCTGGACTGATGATTATCATTCGCCTCCAAGTTAAGTCAACCTGCTACTGTATGAACACTGAGGATATTTCCGTCTCACGTAACCCTCAACCTTTATTGTCACGTTAGCTGGTTTTATCTTATTTGGGATTCGTCAACTGGATGTACCTGCACCCCACTAAGACTCAAACCTGGGACCCAGTAGACCACTGAGCTACTGATAGCAGTAAATATTTGGGTAGGATATAGGAGCCGACATGCCAACACAGAGGTCGATGAATTCGACCCAGTACAACAACGGAGAATTGCAAGTATATCAACAAGTAATAATAGCTACTATCCAGTGCATAATAGGTAGCTTTCATGCCTTAGTGATCTAATGGATAACGCTTTACCGGTTGAAACAATGGGTACAAGATTCTAGTCTCAGTGGGGACAACATCACCAACTGGGCTGGGTGCAGATACATCCCGCTGATGAGTTCCAGACAGGATGAAACGCCCGTCGTTCGTTCCACTACCAGACATCAAACAGACTTATATTTGTTCTCTTGAAGCTTTCCTGAGGAAAAAATGAAAACAAGTAGTAAAACACGTGCATAATTGTCATGTTCATTGTCGGAGATTTGTTCTTCTCTCTCTCTCTCTCTCTCTTTCTCTCTCTCTCTCTTTCTCTCTTTAGATATGTCTATAAACGTCTACGTTTCCTGGGCAATAAAAATCTATCTCAATTGGTGACATTACTATTTTTGGCGATTTGGCATGGTACACACAGTGGATATTATATCAATTTTGGAGTAGAACTCTTAGTTGTTATAGTTGAAAAAGATGTAAGATTTTATTATTCTTTTAATTTCAACTAATTGATTTATTTTATTGAATTTGGAAATTCATGAGGATTGATTAGTTCCATGGTAGGTTTTCATCACAGACTGTTATCAATTGGAGAAGTATTGAAAACCTGGAATCACTGTCCTAGTTTACCACTTTCCAAGGGTGTTGATCCAACAGCCATCTGGTCTTGTGATGGGCATATTACCAGTCAGCTACTATGTTGGAGTCTACTTTCTCATGTGACTGGCAGGTATTTGTCTCTGTGCTTGACCTGGTTGACCCTACACGTGTTATGGCTTCTCATTGGAAGTTGGAAAGATCCATCTGGAGGCTTATCACTAATTAGCAGGTCGCTACCGTAGCGTAGCCAGTCAATCTGTGAACTTCAATTTTAGAAACGAATCACTCAGTGTCAATTTTAATTTTAACTATTTTCCATTGGATTTCTCGAAGGTATTCAAACCAGAAATGCACAAGAATATTATTTGCACTACTAGAATTCCATGTTATAAAAGTAGTCAAGTGTTTTGTGGAGCTATCGCTCATTAGCATAGGCTTTCAAATTCTCGCAGATGAGTCACGGGCTGGAATCCAATTCCAGTGAATAAGTTCTGAACAACCAGATAGTATACTAGCTTTCCCCAACGGGTGTGGCTCCATTGCCTGCCTAGCTGCCTACTGGATAAACATGTATGTGGTTACTTTGAGTGAATCCCAATTCGAGTCGTGTCTGCAGTACTGAAGTTTGTCTGTATGCTACTGTTCTTAGCCGACCTGATTATTTCTCGCTTGTTAGCATGTGACAAGACTATCTTCATATGATGAATCATTTTACCATAAAGTATCTCTTTTGAGTCACAGGTTTATTTCCCCTTGTATATTTTTTTTACGATGAAGTGATTTGAACTTCTGTGTTGTTGTTAATTAGTTACAAAAATACTCGACTATGATACATCGAGTTACTATGGGTTCTAAGGTTATACACTAACCTCAGCTTGCATAACCTCCTATTATCTTCATATTTCATCGTACTGCACTGCATAGTATTGATGTAAATATAAGTTGATTTGTGATATTTGTTCATCCACTTAGCATTTCGCTTATATAAATTTGATTATATATTTTATGCATTGCTTTCTTCTTTGACGCCAGTTTTTGTCTAGACTGAAGAAATCAAAGTATAATCATTTCTTCTATGAAAGTATTCCTGGACGTGTAATCAGTAGTGTTTGTGGTAAACTGCATATATGCTTCCTATTGGCTACTCCACTTGTAGCATTCTCTCTGTTACAATTCCATTTATGGTTTCCTGTAAGTACTTATTGATAGCAATATGCAAAAGTATTTCTAGATTTCTTTCTCTTTATTAATCACTAATGCCGGATATATGATTTGGCTAAGTGCCAAGTCGAATCAAAATTGAAATGCATCCAACCACCTTGAAGTTGTAAACCTTCATCTCCTGAGGTGGCTTGAACACGTGTAGTGCATGCCGACTCACCGCTCACCTCGTTGTGCCATGCAGGCAGGAGTTAGATTAATTAGTAAGAGGGTTCAGGCGGACCAGAACCAGACCTGGAACCAGTGCATGAGGTCTGTTACTGTTGGTGTGAGCCGTGTTGGGAGATGTAAACTGCCTGACTGGGGCCACTGTGACGAAAGGAATCAGTTGTTAAGGTCTCTTGGTGCAGATGTATGCACTCCTTGACATCTTTGAAAGCTTGAATATTCACACTAACCTTTTTCTTCAACGTGTTTATTCTCTCACTTTGATATCAGTGTTTCCTGTCCACTTGTGTTTTGTATACTACTGTCAAGTATGTTAACTTGAACTGATGCACTTGTATACAAGGTGCCATGTTGATTTTTCCTCTCTATCCGCCTGTCAGCGACCTTATGGACACTGGTTACTCAATGAACCACATATTTTCTTGTCTGATACTACCTGGCTACCATCCACACTGGAGGTAGATGCAGCGGGCTCAAACCTGTGACCCATTCGTTGCGAATCACCTCCCTACACCAATGAACTACAGCTCCACTGCTTAACAGAAAACTGATTTATTTTTATACTGCGTACAAATTTTACGTGCTGATAACTCTAACGAAGAATTATCATTGAATTGTAGGTCAAAAATAAGCAGAATAAACAACATTCACATATTGTTTAACTGGAAGGGATCTCTGCAAGCAATCTCTCTCGAAAGCTTTTCGGTAGCTAGTTCTCCTTGCAGTCTTACAGGCCTAGGTATGCCATTGATTCCTAAGATAGAAAGTACACTGCTCTCGATTGGATATCAGTTGTAAGTCGTCTGTGTGGTGTTCGACTGAATGGTGCATTCAGGACTTGTTGGGTCTACGTCACAAGGAAAATCTCAGGTTGGCAAGTGTAGGTCCAGAATCGATATCAGTGGCGCAGCTATATCTACACACATTATCTTAGTCGTAACACCGCATTTGATTATTGTTCCATTCTTTGTTCTATTTCTATGGCTTTTGGTAACCACTTTATTCCTCACTTTTCCATCTTTCCTCTGTTTGTCTACTACTACCTACTCAAATGAAGTATGATCACTTCGACCGTTAAGCAATAATGTCACCTCCAGTGTTTATACTGACTTATCAGATAGCTTTCAAGCGGACTTAACTTCCTTATAAATTCATGTGAACACTCATATCTGTGACATTTTCGAAAAAGAATCAACGATGCTAATAGCGATAAATTTACTGTGTTCTTCAACGTCACAGTTTTATTTACCTCATTTTCACTAGGACTCACAAACGACATCATATGTATTCACTTCAATGAAGCTGCGAATCGTGAGCAGTGCAAACTATCAACTCATAGTCTAAGGCCATTGACTTGTATTTATTAACGCATTTCCAGTTCATTGATATGGTATTTTCAAATAGATTGAGAAAAACTCCAATGGGATCACCGATTTCTGTCTGAATTAACCACCAAACCAGTAATGTCGAAAGAGAGAGAGAGAGAGAGATGTGATATTAACACTTTCAACTCAAAGTGAAGAAGGAATTGAACAACAAACTGTCATTACGCCATGTCTTAGCCATTTGAACAAGCATAGGTTAAATTACAGACTGAAATGTATAAACAGCCAATATACTGGACGAATCCTTCTTTAACTAAGGTAGTGAACATCTCTGGAAATCAATTATGTGAAGACTTTATTCAAGACAGTAGGCATATTGAAGTGCAATCACTTCATGGAGAAATAAGGATGGATAAAGCAATGTAATGAGCCTGGCGAAGAAATGCATCCGTCTAGGTAATGCCCCTCTCCACTACACCATCCAAAAAGGAGGTGAATAGAAAAACTGATATTAAGTCAGATAAATATTTATGTTTGTGTACAAGAAGGCAGAGAATATGTACATGAAAGTAATTAGAGATAATCAATTGAAGATACAAGTTGTCAACCATCACAAAAACAATATCACTGATACGTGAAGATAAGAAGACAAGATAGACTATTGATAGAGAGATTTCACTGTCTCAACAGTAATTCAAATATAGTTGAAATTGATGGTGAATATATACATACTTCTAAACGACCTTGACAACAATAAATTCAGTGTTATTTTAAAGGAATTAACAACAAACGAGTGTTCAGCCTTCAGAATTAATGAGGGGATAAACAGGTGGTGCAATAACAGCAATGATAAGTTGTTCAAAGTTTGTAGGTAAATATCAGATAGAAATTAGACAAAATTAGAGGTATGTAGCATATATCATTGCCAACCCCCCCCCAAAAAAATGATGGGTAAACGGGAAGATTGAAACAACTTTCAACAATGTTTCAAAATTTCTCTTTTCATTTAAGTGTGCCTTTTCTGTGTCCTTTTGATAATACTATTCTTCAGGTTCTCAAATCCGTCTACTTCATTGGATTCTGGTATATGTTTTGGCCATTCATCAGATCTGGAGTGAAAATCCTATTACAGTCTCCAGCATATAAATCTCACCTACAACAACATCCATCTAAAATATCAATGATTAATGGTAATCTTGAAGTCAGTTTATCATCATTAAAAAAACAATGATTATGATAGAAATGATATTACCATGTATTCATGTGTAGTGTTTACCTCACCATCATGTTTGTGTACAACTCTTTATGTGCGTATGCGTGTGGGTGGGTGGGTGTATGTGATAATTTTGGAGACAAAGAATAACAAACTACTACTACTGTTTTACCCTTGTTTTCAAATTACTGTGCCTTTTCTCAATACCAAGGATCTACTATAGAGGAAACAAGGTTGATCATCTTTGTATGTATATGTGTGTGTGTGTGTGTGTACACTTGTGTTTGGTGATACTCCTCACTTTGTGTCAATTTATTTTCCATTATGGTTGTATTACACGCGCGTACATTTCTACTCTCATTTTTTCCAATACACCGATGAGCTCCTATTAGTAGTATAATAACCAAATGGTAATGCTGTGTATCCACCAACTATGGTTTCAATGAGTACATTTCTGGTGTTTCTTTTGTCTTCTTCTGTAATTATTATTCTGTGTATGGATGCACACATGACCCATTTCATTCATTATTCATTGCCATTATCGTCCTCATTTTCAGTTCTCTGCCACCACCTCTGACCTTTTCAACTATCATTCTTTTCTTTTTTCCTCAATATTTTCCTACTTCTAATATTTGGCGACTTGTTGTTGTTGTTGTTGTTGTCGTTGTTGTTTCTTCTCGTGATAATGTGACTTTTCTAGATCATTATATAGTACCAGCTACTACTATTACAAAGTATTATGACAGTTTTTCACATGTGTATAAAAAATCTTTTCATTGTCAACATTTCGTCTGTTCGCGAGCTTATTCCTGTTAGTCAGCGCTTCGTTGCATACTTTTTGAAGTCTAGCGGCGATTATTATCTACATCTTTGTCATTATTAGTCAGTCAGTCTGTCTGATCGGTGCAGGTTGAACGTAATTGACTTACTTACAGTGTTTGTACTGAATGATGCTAACCTCTCATCGGCGTCGACGTCTTCTTCTTCTTCTTCTTCTACTAGATTGTATTCTCGTTTATTTCTTTGGAGATTCACTGGTATTTACATAAGATGTGAATGTTATGAGTATATCATTATATATATATTATGTTTTGTAAGACATGCTTAAAATAAAGTAAAATATTTCTCATTATGTCTACATTCTGTCTAATTCAGTGTAGAACTGACTAATTGTATCCATCTGTTTATCTATGTATATAAGTTATGGGTTCGAGCCTAGCTCCGCCTATGGAATTTCGGGCATTTAGGTGGTATCATTAGCCCTCAAACACACTACGTGTGGTTTACTGCCTACTGCCCCAAAGTGCACAAGAATGTACCAGGTTGGTAGGAGTTATTTATGTATCGTATTTTGCGGGTTAAAAATACTAGTTAGGTCAATGTATACAAAGTGAGACTTTAGTATAAAACCTGTTGATTCAAAAATAGTAATACTAAAACCAGTTATGTCTCGTTGTGGGAATTTCGCCTGCGCATTTCCCACTTTTCGAAAAAATATAGAATAGTGCTGTTTTCTATTCAACAACTACAATCTGAGTTGTTCGACACAATTCAGAAGAATTTTCTCTTTCCACACAATTGCTATAAATGTCAAGTAAGCCTAGTTCTTTAAGGTTTCCAGATTCAAAATTTGAAAATTTCCCTATATCTTCATATCATTGTGATAGATTTTTGTTAGAGGTAGTCGGCAGAAAGACCTTCGTCTAGGTTTCTTGCGTTGTGATGCTGACTCTCCTAATTTGGTGACCGCATTGCAAAATGATCGACAGAATTCAGTCAGCACTCAAGACTAACATGAAACTGGTTTCTCTTCAATGTTCATATCATTGTTTTTAAGACATAATGGATCAATCGTTTTCCGCATCCCTCAGAAAGTGTCGGTAGTGTAAGGAATTGTGAACATCAAACGGGAAATCCATGACTGAATGTCTATTCCACAGTAACAGGTTTCAAATGTTATTCCGCTTTTCTGTGGTAGACTAAAAATATGCAAACCGAACTTCCCACTACGACCGATTGTTTTATTTCCAGTAACCCCAACATGCCATCTTTCAAAAGGACTCTTCAGAAAACTAACATCTGATAGAATCATGCGACCATTATATCATCGAAATTGAAAGAGGGAGAACACACAGCTTATAAGAACTTCACGGAGAAACGGAGAAAATTACTTGATATCCATCGTAAAGAAGAAGAGCTAGCCACGAAACTTTACCAGAAGATCCCTATCCCATACAACATTACCAACTACAAAGTCATCGACAGAAATCAATAAAGGCATCATCCTTCCATACATAAAGAATATATCAGAAATCATGACAAGATTTCTAAAACCACTTAGTGGGATTGGTGTGGCCCACTGCTAGAGTAGATCCTAACTAAGAATTGCCTGTGCTCTGTTAGACTAAAAGTCAAAGAGAGAACTGCTGCGCGCGCGCTGACTGCCGTTTGGATGACTTGAAGGATGAGTTCTACCGAAAACGGCATACCTCAAGTGTAATTGTCGCAATAGATAACTTCAATGCACAAGTGGATAAAATAAGCTAGACAGAAGCATTCAGGTGGCGCTTGCAGAATCCCATCCAAAAGAAATGAGTGATGGCACTCATCAGCAGATTAGTATGCTATTCATTGAAAGGTCTGAAGATTCTACACCTGGTCTTGGATGAACACTGATGAGGATTTTTAAGCTAGAACGAAACACTCATCCATTCGACCTTGATCTTCATTCTATGATACACAACTGTGAACTCAATAAATTCCTTAAAAGGCCTCTTTTAAATGAATTACTATGCAGTAGCTGTGAAGGATGAAGTACTTCTAGTTTTTGTTATCCATATTGGAGACAGTTGTGATTAATCTGTCAATCGACGACTTCATGTAATTTAATGCTCCGTTATTTTTTCATATTGGCCGTCAATTCAGTATTGCGTCAAACTTATGGTTCTTCTTAGTATACTTCCTAAGCTCATATAATGATGCTAATAGGGTGAAATGCCTGTGTAATAAATCAACTTCATTCCATCGTCTATTCTTGAGTAGTATCAAATGAACTACTGACAATAAAATATATATTAGGATAACAGCCAGATGCTTAAGGGGTTGCGGTCTTGGCACTCCAAAGTCTGAGCTACACCAACCAAGTACTCATGCAATTTTAATCCACCAACTACCATGTAAATCAGCTATTTCAGTTAATCTGTTCAGTGTCACGAGGACTATACTAACTGTCACTGGAAAACTCAGTGTGCTCGTGATTGTCGTCTGGATGACAATATCAGAGTAGATTAATAACTCTCCAGTTGACAGTTTGTAGAGTCCACTCGGAGAGTCCATTCCATCTGCAGATTCCTCACAGACTCCCAGCACTTCTATGCTACATCTTCTCATCTCTTTTGCAATCTGTGAAGCCTTGCCAGTCAGTCAGTCAGTCAGTCAGTCAGCCAGCCAGCCAGCTTCAAACATACTGCGGATATTCCATATCCCCCTGCTCACTTTTACTTTCATCAAGAGATAGAAGGCACATCGGCCAATAGTCTTCCCGAAGACAGGATTTCACCAACTGGCGTCATTTCGTCTCCCCAATCCCACCAAGGAATAAGTTTGTCTTTATTTATATATATATTTTTTGTGCTTTGAAGTTTCTTTAGTGATTGGATTGATTTTACGGGAGGGGTTGCTAGCCCTATGCCCAACCTTCCCTCTTTATCTGTGCTTAGGACCGACTAGTAACTAGTGAACTAGTCAACCGAGGGATTTTGCTGAAGTCGATTAAATGCACTATTTAGCTACTTGATGGCAGCCAGTTTCATGTTTTCTAGGATGTGCGCATAGTGTGAAATTTCGTCACGAAGCTGCTATACTCACCACTGTAGTTTATTATTGTTTATATCAGTCTCTTTTTCAATGTTCTGAGAACTATTCTACATCGAGTGTACCGATATTTAAGAAGTAGTATTGTCAAATGTAAGGTGTCACAGGTCGATATTAGGTTGATAAGGAAAACAAGCCCATGTGCATTAGACAGCTGTTTCATACTGATGCTGAACACCACAACAATGCACAATCTCGACACCGTGAGGCTCACGTTATATAGCAGACTGACGTTCAGAGAAATTTGTGATCCATTAGGTTGCATCACAGTGACTCCAAGAGGTGTGGATGCTAGGCTTGATGAGGATCATAGAACTGTACGTAGGTACTGCGTGAAACAGATACTCGAATCTTACGATATTGCAGTGGTTCTTAAGTTATTATCGGTTCATGATGAAACCTACTGTGGAGTCGATGAATTCCTGTTAATATTTAACTGTATGTTTATCATAGATTCCGAATCTTCTTGAGATTTAGATCGGACGTTTCCGATGCTTCGTAAAATTGGAGGCAGTTTTCATCGGGGAAAGAAATAAGAAGCCATTGAAAAATCGTCAACAATGGATAGTAGTTTCTTCATCGAATGAGGCTTATCAACAGAATGCATGCATGGCCCTGCCACGCGTCTAAACCAGGACAGTCAGATCTCACAGTGAACATTTTAGCATTCAACCTCTTGAGTGAAATACCATGGTTCCCGTTTTCATGCCTTTCTAAGTAGTGAAACAGCGCAATCATCACTCAATACCATGATTGCAGATTTGCACTCACAACTGAATTGACTGACCCCAGAGGTCCAACCTCCTCATTGGGACTTCAGAAATTCCATGCCAAGACATTTCTTCAGTGAATATTAGACTGGCAGAAATTCAATCACTGGTTGATGGGAACTAATGAGGTTTGAGTTAGCATTCATTACGGAGAAGTGTGTGACTACAACACGAAGGCGGTGTCTAAGTCAAACCAGAGGAGAAGAAGATAAACTCATCTTGGTTCATTCTCCTTAACAGAAAAGTATATATGTGTGAGTTGTGTAGGTGGTAGTAGAAGGCTCACCAGAACAATTTAGATTAGTCAAATCTTTAATCTGTTTAATTTTCAGTCTGCGCAACTTTGTAAATGCAAGAAATTAACTGTGATGTCAAAGTATTTCTACTAAGCTGTACAAACTAAAAAGATTTCTTCACCTGAAGCTAAATCGTTCGTTTTGACTGCATTTAACGCTTCATCGAAACGTGTTTTGGTAACAATTGTTAATTTTATCCTCACCTTGCCCTCGTTTACT